CCATTTCTTCGACAGTATCACGAAATGGGCCAAACAACAACCGCGCAAGCTTCTTTGGGAGAGGAACAGTCGGTTCTACGTGCCCTCCGAGCATGGCGAATGGGAAGATTTCTCCCAAATGGTCCGCATCCAGACGGAGCACGGCACAAATAGCGTGGCAAATCTCTGGAGCAGCCTCAACCGTGCGAACAAAGATCCAAACAATCCTGGCTTCAGCACCCCAGCCGGAGCGATGAAGCAACAAGGAGACAAGCCGATCTGGGGTCCTGAACGTCCCCTCGACGACGATGTGTCGATGGACACCGACCCGGTACCACCTACGTCCTTCGACAAGGACAAATACACCTGGGGTGTGGGCGAAGATGCCGACCTTATTGTGTTCAACCCCCTCTTCGATCCTGATGGAACAACTTGGCTCCTCGCGGACGACACGACAGGCTACAACATCACCCGTGGCCGACCAGCCCGTCGCACAGCAATCATAACCGCCTCCCGCCTCTCCCGCAAACTCCTCGTCACCATGCACAAGGAGACCGCACTGAAGAAACACTCCATGTTTAGTGAAATGTGGCCGGCAAGCTGCGCGCTGCACCACGGGCTCAAGGCCGTCTACGTGCCGCATCCCGAGTACATCGATCGAAAGTGGCCCACCAACTACCTACAGTCCGTCTTCAATGCTGGCCGGAACGGGGCCACGGGCGCTGCGCGAACCAGCGTTTTTGGCGAGAGAGAACACAATTTCCGAGGTACCACATGGTATTACAATGCCGGCTTTCCGGAGGTGCTGTGGCATCGCTGGCTAGGGTACAAGTTCAACAACGACGGCGGCGAACAGTTTGAGGTGGCTGGTGAGGGCAGAATGTGTCTTCCAGGCATGTTGTTACATCCGATCAAGAGGGTTGACTTGGTGCTGGAGGGCAGGAAGGCGGATGAGCACCCATGAGGTCGAGATCGAGGTCGGTGATATGTGGATGTATGGCTTGTTCTGGATAATCCTCTGTGCGTATGGTGGGGGAGACGTGGAGACTGGGAATCAATGTACGGAGTGCGAAGTACATGTGATGTGTGATAGGTTAAGTGTTAGGTGTTGGGTGACTATACTCGGATGCACCTTGTCGGATGCGTACGAGGGAGCTGTACATGCATTGTCCAGAGCGTCTCGAGTGAGCGCATGTCGAAAATCCTTTCTGTGAATCTGACCGATCTACGCCGTCTGTTTGGTGCATGGGCTGCCCATTATTCTGCCCCCAACCAGTAAATCACGGGCACGCCTTATCTAAGCAGCCAACTGGGCGTCACGCAGCCATCACGCTTGCACGCTAGGGGCCCACGCACATATCACCGTGAGGAGCGAGAGAAAGCCTCTACCGCAGGCCGCAAAGGAGCCGATTCCATCCCGTGTGCCCGTCCAAACTCGAACTCCCCGCTTCCTTGCTCCGTATCAAATCCCTTTGGTGGTCTTTCTCTTCGAGTTCGCATCTACAAACAGGTCCTCTCACGTTCGAGCTCCAGCCTCTATAATTCACACATAGTCACCCACGTCCTGCTCCATCATTCGAGCAACCTCCATCCCGGTCGGCACGCACGCTACTCCGTACCTCCTGGACATCCTTACTGCCTCACCCTCGCCTCAGCTGAGAATGAGTCTCGCCTGACCCGAACCGACCTCGACCATCATGCTACAGACGCAGCATCTTTATTCCCACCAGCAACAATACAACCAGCACGAGCAATCCGCTTGGCAGCACAATGGCCCTCAGCAAAGCCACGCACCCTTGAGCCATGGCCAGCACCAGGCGCAAGCCCAACTGGCTGCCGCGCAACATTACTCGCGACTCGCCGTGAACCCGAACCACAACTCACATGCGCAGTCCACCAGCCGGCAGGTTGTGGCAGATAACGCGCAGAGCTCCCTCGGGGCCTCCCTCACGGCCATGAACGAGCAGGCATCGCCGGGCATGGATCAACAGCTCTCGGAAGAGAACCGAAAAGTGCTACAATGGGTGGCTGAGCTTCTGGACCCAAACAGGAGGGAGGGGGCTCTGATGGAGCTGAGCAAGAAGCGAGAACAAGTGCCCGAGCTCGCCTTGGTTCTCTGGCACAGCTTTGGTGTCATGACGAGTCTGCTCCAGGAGATCATCTCGGTCTATCCTCTGCTGAACCCCAGTCAGCTCACGGCTGCGGCTAGCAATCGTGTCTGCAATGCCTTGGCCCTGCTCCAGTGTGTTGCTAGCCACAATGAGACCAGAGGCCTCTTTCTCAACGGTAGGCGACTATTAAACTGCGGGTGCAAGGCACATGCTAACACACGAGTCAGCGCACATTCCACTGTTCCTGTACCCGTTCCTCAACACCACGTCGAAGTCGAGACCTTTCGAGTATCTCCGCCTCACGTCGCTCGGTGTCATTGGTGCTTTGGTCAAGAACGAGCCCTCCTCCAATGTTTCGATCAACCCATCAGGGACACCTGGCGCACAGGCTAACGCCGGCAACTCCTCGCCCACTATCACCTTCCTTTTGACAACCGAGATCATCCCGTTGTGCCTACGAATCATGGAAACAGGCAGTGAGTTGTCCAAGACGGTCGCCATCTTCATCGTTCAGAAGATACTGCTTGACGACACGGGCTTGGGATACATCTGTGCCACGTACGAGCGATTCTATGCCGTGGGCACCGTCTTGAGCAACATGGTCATTGGTCTTGTCGAGACGCAGACTGTCCGGCTGCTGAAACACGTAGTTCGATGCTTCTTGAGGTATGTTGTTCTTCCGGACAGACCCGCCTCGGGACTGTCTACTGACATGGTCTCCAGACTTAGCGATAATAACCGAGCTCGTCAAGCGCTGCGCCAGTGCCTCCCGGAACCACTTCGAGATGCCACTTTTTCCAACGTCCTCAGGGATGATGCCGCCACCAAACGATGTCTGGCCCAACTTCTCATCAACCTGAGCGACACCGTCGCCGATGCGCAAAACGACCAATTTGAGTGATTCAACGACTTTTGCCCGGAATTCCGGGCCTTGGCATCCATTTGCTGTGAAAACACCAGATCATCAGTGATACCCTTCTTCGTCACATTGACGTCTTTTCTTATTTCAGTATTGCAAACCGGCGGTCGGCGAGACAGTGGTATAAGCATGAAGCAAGGAAGTCTGGAGTTCTTCGCATCGAGCATGGCGCTTTTGCTCTTGGCAAACGCCATTGTGGCCGCACGGCGCATATACCAGCTGAACGTCGAGGGCGCGACTGTGGCAGGCGCACTGTTTTTTCCTTACGTGGACGATGACACGATCAAAATGCACAAAGGCGTCGCTAGACGATGAAACCCTGTAACAAGAGCGCGGTATTCTGAGCAGGCACGGTCGTGGGCTCGGTTTTTGGGTTGAGAAGGGGAGTGACTATCGAGAGCAAAAGTGTTTCCAACAGTGCGTTCTTCTTGCTTTTTGGACGACGAGTCCATCTCCCACATTTGGCTCCCGGATCGAATATAGGCGAACTTGACGATTTCACCTGTACATGAGATGAAAGTGGCATGGTACAACAGAGTCGCTGCCAGCAGAAGGGGACTTAAAGTTTTTGAATACATACAGACCGTCTCAAGGCACATTATGATGATATCCCCTTGTCCATGTCCAACATCTATCATTTGACGGTGTCTCGCACAGTTTCCCAGCAATACATCGTGGGCCAGGATGCATGCATGGTGCTATCCATTCTAAATGCTCATTGACACAGCTGTAGTTACTTTGTAGCTGGACCTTCTTGGTTACCCAACTAAGACATCAAGAAGGCAAGATATGATCCAATATCCCTCTCGACGCTGGCCATTTGTTCCAATGAAAGGATGTCTGGCTTCGTGCAGCTCCTCGAGGCCTCGATCATTCACTGGCGGGCTAATACGCGCATCTTGTGGCCTTCTCCTCCGCCGAGTCCCATGCAGGCACACGCGTACCAAAGGGGCTCAAGAACCAGACGGTACTCGTACTGTACACTGCGATGAACGTAACGACTTCGGGGCCCGAGAAGTTTTCCCCTGTCTGATCGAGCAAGTGTCGACAATTCTAGGTACCTTGGAAGAGACCCTACCATCAAGCATAAGCATCAAGCATAAGCATCAAGCATAAGCATCAAGCATAATTAAGGCATGGCCAGTTTCAACATTCTAAGTAATCGTACCCCGGACACCCTGGAATTCGGAAATCTCGTCGAACGACCCAACCCACCCATCAGTCTCGTCTGTTCCTTTCTACGATACAGCACAAACTCTGCATTCTCGTTCGATGGAAGGATGGATGGATGAATGGACGGATGGATCAATCAACGGTTAGCCGCCAGCGCTCGCTCTATTCGTAACTCGTATCGGATTGACTTGCATTGCGATTCGGTCATCACTGATAGCAACTCATTCGTACATACAAGTACCGAGCAGGCCGAGGTAGGTACTCTGTAGTCCTGATCCGTACTCTGTCTGCATGCGCGCCTACTACGAGTACGTTCTCGTACACCCAGCCCGAGAGAAACAAGCTCATACCTAGTCAATTGCCGAATCAAACTGAATCTCCACCTTGCGACTGCTTTACATCACCATATCTCGCCATTGCAGTCGTACGAGGTCCTGGCGGCAATTTTCGTCTTGAGAAAGATCTACTGACACGCGTATCGTATCTGTTCGGTGGAATTCTCGCCCTGGTTTCCGTGCAGGACAGGAAGATAGGTATAATTAAATCCCGGAACTCTGACCTAGTCGCGCGGACGGGATACCAGCTGCTAATACGAGACAGCACCGTGTTGCAACAATAACTGACTTGGGTAATTGGCCTAGCATCCGGGTTTCTGGAGCTGCTCGCTACTTTCCGCCACCTCAGAGCTGTGACGCTGTGAAGGCTCGTCTTGGGATCGTCATCGACTCAAGGCGCTCGACTGCGCTCGACTGCGCAGGACGAAAAGCACGCTCATCAGTACAGTCGCTTCCTATCATCTCGAGCAAACTACTCCCGGCATGTCTGCCAATATCAAGCTCGTCGGAAAGCCCATCGGCCCCGTCGGCTATGGGCTCATGGGCTTGACCTGGAGGCCCAACCCACAACCAGCCGAGGACAGCTTCAAAGCCATGGAGACGGCATTGGCGCAGGGGGCCAACTTTTGGAACGGCGGCGAACTGTACGGCCCGCCGGAGCGACACTCGTGCCATCTGCTCCACGAATATTTCAAGCTCCACCCAGGCGATGCGGACAAAGTGGTGCTCAGCATCAAAGGTGGCACTCTCCCAGGGCAGATGAAACCCGACGGCTCGGCCAAGAACGTCCGACGCAGTGTCGAGGACTGCTTGAAGATCCTGGACGGGACCAAGACCATCGACATCTTCGAATGCGCCCGCCTCGACCACGACGTACCGCTGGAAGAGACGATCGGCACGCTCGCCGAGCTCAAGAAGGAGGGCAAGATCGGCGCCATTGGCCTGTCGGAAGTCAAGGCCTCGACCATCGAGCGGGCTCACAAGATCCATCCAATCGCGGCCGTGGAAGTCGAGGTGTCTCTCTGGACGACCGACATCCTGGGCAACGGCGTCGCTGCGACGTGCGCGAAACTGGACATCCCCATCGTCGCGTATAGTCCTCTCAGCCGCGGAGCGCTGGCCGGTGAGAGCATCAGACGCAACGCCGATATCCCAGAGGGGGACTTCCGCAAGATGTTGCCACGGTTCCAGGACGATGTCCTCGAATATAACAACCAAATCGTGGATGAGGTCGAAAAGCTGGCCAAGAGGAAAAGTGTGACAAAAGCTCAGATCGCCATCGCCTGGGTCCGAGCCCTCAGTGGACGAACCATCACTACGGAGGATGGGCAACAGCTCACGCTGGGGGTTATTATACCCATTCCCGGCGCCACCAAGCCGGAGCGGGTGATCGAGAACACGAAGCACGTGGAACTGTCGGAGGAGGAGATGAAGGAGATTGCGGACATCTTGAAGAAGAATCCGATCAAGGGCGATCGGTATCCGAAGACGGGAATGGCTCACGTCAATATGTAGATGCACGTACGGCTGTGTCGGTGGCTCCTAGCAGCAAGAGTGCTATTACTCCCTTGGCAAATGGAGGGCCTGATCGACTGATAGTCGGAATGGCCTAAGTCGCAGCTGCTGACCATGGATCGCGGAGCTTCATTCGTGTCAGTCCCCTGTAGTCTTACAAGGAACCTCCGTGTTTCATTCTTACTGTACATCCTCCCTGTCTCGAGTATCCAGGTCCAGGCTATTCCCTCCACCGGATGGCCCAATTGCCCTTGGCGAAACTGGGCTCGACTACTGAGCCGTTCATGAGGGCTTCGCACTTTCGCCGCGTCTCCGATTGTGAGCGCTGCTTGTCACCATCAGCTCGGCCTTCTACTGTGGGTTGACGATCCTGGCTGGAAGAGTCTACTGCAAACCCGAAAACGACGCCTCTTCTAGCCGCCCTCCGGACCATCTCACGCTGTTCAGCACGCTGCTGTCCCTCCAGCCGCTTCTCAAGCTCTTCAGGAGTCTCGGATTGCCGTTCAGCCCAACCCTTCTCCCCTCCAATACTGCCATTGACGTCAGATGCCAACTGCGACGGCCGTACTAGTGGACGCACTCGCTGATGCGAGTCCTTTACTGGCGACGTGCCCTGATCGTCGGAGCCGGTATCGTGGTCGTCCTCCATGTCAACGCTCTTCCATTCACCATCCTCACCCAAGGCTCGACTTGCTCGATTCTTCTTTCGTCCAAATGTTTTGCTGGGATCGTGTTTACCGCCAAATACAACTTCCTCAATCTCCTCGCACGTGACGATGATGCGACGATCGCCTTTTGTCACCTTGGGTTTGGCTGTGGTTTTGTCGACACCGTACCCCGGCTCAGCATTGAGAAGCGCCACTATGGTCCTCTCTATCCTCTTGTCCAGAGGCCCAGGCTTGCGATTCCGACATCGCTCCGAGCAGTATTTGATGGTGTTTGCTGGCTTCTGTTGCTGCTGTTTGCGAGAGCCTCGGATATTGTCAACCACCCGTTCTTCCTGTCAGGCTTGTCAACTCACTTATCACTCTACCACAAGTTCGGCAGTAGGGCACATCGTCGCCCTGCGTCAGATAGAACGGAGGGGGCACGGCGGCATGTTTGCCCGGCCTTGACCAGGAGTCCATCCAACTCATCTTGGAAGAGATTGTGAGGGATGTGAATCTTCTTCTGCAGAGAATGAGGCCCGTAAGTGCTCGAAGCATGCATTCATGAATATCTGCTCTCAGGCCATAAACCAAACACGGGTCTGAAGTCAAGGTCAACGCAAAGTGAACGAAGAGTGAACGACGACGTCATTGGCCCAATGACGTGGGTAGGAATTTGGCGGTGGAGCTGCGCCCCCGAAATGGACATCTACGACGCCATACGCCGTATTCGCGTCGTGAACCAAGTCATTTCTGTCGCACTGTCTATCGAGGATACGATCGCGTCCTCGTCAACCGTACCCGACTCTGACTTAACACGTGTTGTCGACCAAGTCGGGTTACGAAGGCACCATGGCATAATAGACTTGTTCTCGAGTCCCTACCCGCCCAATCTTCCTTTATCTTATACCCAACTCTAGGATTTCTTGCCGCTCCGCATAGTAGTTTCAAGCAGCACTCTCGAGCACGCTCGCTAGGGCGGTAGAACAGAGAGGCATTAGTACCACCATCGGCCCTTTCTCACCACTGTGCCACCAGCAACTAGTTCCGGGAGCCCCCCTCGCATATAACGTCTCGGGAAGGTTAATACTCCGCATGTAATACGACCACATCAGATGCTCAGAGGAAAAGACCCGTTGTCGGAAACATGTGTCCAAGGGAAAATTGTGTCAGTATCGAGCCGTAGCTGACTCAAGAATAAGTATGAGACAGAAGGGGGGGAGTCCCTCTGGATGCCGAACTCCCTCATTGTCTCCCGCTATAACGCTGTCGTCGGGTTTCGGGATCTTTCATTCTCCACGACCTCAAAGCCGTTCCACCACTTCTTGTGCTTTGCATATCCGCCTGAGCGCCTCTTCTTCGGGGGCAGCAGGACGACGTGAAAACAGCAAACCACAATTTCGAGCATCTGATGGATGCGTTGCTCGTTCGGGCAGCTGCCCACTTCAATGCTTTGGGCGGCACCGAGAACGATCTCGGCACTGCCTTGGTGCACGGGGACGTGCGATGTGCGGTCTGGGAGAGGCATGAGCCAAAAAACATCGTTCTGCAGGAGCCAGCTTCTGTCGTTCGATGCAGCTTGTTTTGGAACATTCGTCCAGGGCTGCGACATGATCACGTAGCGCATTGGAGAAGGGCGGCAGACAATCTTCAATCACATCTGACGCAATCCGACGACATCTGCAGGCCAGTGCGACACCTCGACTCGGCTCAGCATGGCTACTTATCCACAAGGGCCCCATCTCCGAATGTTGCTGTCAAAGGGCATCGTATCATTGTGTGCCCTGCAAAAATTCGTCAGCGATCGATATCGCGGGTTGAGATTTTTGATCGGTCTTCAGGTATCCCAAGGCACAAATTTTTACCAGCTCGGTTGAAGCAGTAGCGCCTACCACTCTGCAACAACATTTCACCTGGCCGAGACTCGTTTCCGATGAGGCCATTGCTCCTTTCCATGTTCCCTTCCGTTCGGAGGCAAGTATCCAGGCGCAGATAGCAGCCCTTCCCAGCTTCTCCTCTCGCTCACATTTCGTCTTCGGGGACATCGTGGAGCCATCTGCGAGTCTGGCCAAATAGACCGAGGATCTTCTAGCCACTGGGGGTGGCGAGAACGGCTTGCACAAAGGAATACTAACATACAATATCAGCGCAGACGATCGAAGAGCTTCTGGAACGAAAACGGCAGCATAAGTCAGCTGAAACACTGCGTCTCATGTGACACCTTTGGGCCCAGGCACCCTGTCGATCCAAATCATGAGTGGATCTCCCAGGATGCACAACTGTCCCGTTGAGATACAGCGGCAACCTTCTCCAAGGCGCCAGTGGCAATCGACCTGCGGGAGGTGACCGGATATCGAAGTTTTCCGAGAGACCCTGCAAGCCCGGCCCAGAAAGAGGATGGAGCCGCATCAAGTCCAGTGTTGAGCACACCACCTCTTCGATACAGACCCTGATCTAGACACGGCGTTTGTCTGCGTCGCAGATGAGGGCTGAGGGATGATCATGATGCGACCCTTCGAGTGTAGAGTCACGACCCAACATCAGCCGCTCGAGTGGTGGTGTGCTGGAGAGCGACACGATCCAGATCGCCAAGAGCAAGGACGCCAGCCTGAGCAGATTGCCCAGCTAGGACCAAAACCCACTGCTCAACCAAGCACATGCTGCCGATCAGGAGACAGTTTCATGCATCCTCGGGGCCACTCTCGTGGGCCAGAATCTCCGTCCTCGCTTGACGCCCCCTGCTAGTGGCGTGTTGGTGGTATTCATCTGCTGCCGGTCAGCACAAAGCAAGCTCTGAGGCGATCGCCACTCCAGAACAATCGAGACTCGCCAGTTCGTCGGCAGGAAGACTTTTGACAAGACCGCAAGCGATGCAGATGCACGCCGTACTTGCCCAACAAGTAAAGATCAGCACAGACTGAGATTCCGGACTCTCTCAGTGGTGTCGAGACCTGGGGCCACCGATACTTCGGCCAGGTCTCGTGGCTACCTCTTTCTCTGATTGCCAAACAGGTGGTGTCGGTTGTGGAGTTAGCCTGGTAAATCAGAGGTCCAGAAACACACTTCCACCAGTAGAGCTCAGGGGAACAACTGAAATTGCAGCACGATGTCTTCTCTGCATTGTGCATCAAGCATAGTACCCATGCTTCAGTGATTTCGATCGAGCGGCTGCGGCAGCCACTTTGAGACCCCACATCCAGTTATTGAGGCATGATTCGACGCGTCTCACAAGATGGTATCAACATGGCTCCTTTGATGTGGCCGTCGCAGTTATCCACCCTCTGAGGGCATTCATTCCGACGCCGGGGTTTGAACCACTTCTGGGGGACAGGCAAGCGCCGAAGACTGCCCCGAACTGCAAAGGGAGGATTCGTGGACAACGCCACGACACTAGGCGAGGGTCAGAATCAACCTCTCGAGGCTGGTGTGCCATCGTGGAGAGTATGCCGATAGCCAAGATGACCACACAAGGCTGAGGTCAGAGTCGCCAATCTGCTTGCGCCATACTTTTGAGACAGCAACGAGGGCAACACCGAGGATTAGCCACCAGCCACGTTGTAAACTGGGGAGGAGTTCCCAGGACACTGAAGCTGTCGTCTACGATCGATCTGGGGATGCTGCAATCGTTCGATGGGTTTGGTGGAGCGTCCAAGGAATCTTCCGTGCCTTGGAACACTCGTTTCCTGGCTGACGGGGATCCGTAATGCTGACTTGATGGAGCCGAAGATCAACCTTGCCTCGGTGCTGGTTACGGGCCGTGGGCAAATGCCCCTTGCGCCGGTCGGAGCTTTACTGGGTACACCACATGGAATATGTGATATTCTGTGAAGCTAAGCTCATGCGACACAGCATAATCGTGACGGTTTAGACTAAAAACAGCAGTGCTGGGTTGAGCCGATGTTTCGGAGGAGATGAATGACTGCGGGAGGTTGGTCTCCTTCAGTCGCGTGGCTGCGAAGTTTGTCGGCCGCTTAATGTTCGGAGGAAAGACGAGGACGACCTTCATTCGCTTCATCTGCATCCATTTCCATGGCCCGCCAATCAAGGTCTTCGCAGTTAGTCAGGAGGATATCAGAGCTCGACCCGCGGTCTCTTGGCCCCGGAATCGACTAGCACTCGAAGGAACAAGCGCATATCGGCGGCCCTGCTTTCGTCTCACCTCCATGGCCGAAAGGGCGAATCACCACCGCGGCCAAGTCGCCAACGCGAAGTAAGGAGCGCCGGGTTGTAACTTAATGCGAAGCACGCAAATGACAGCCAACTGTCGCTTGAACTTCGGTGGCAACAGTATCATGACTCTGGAGAAAAACCCAAACACTGGGCCGCCGCACGGCTGCAAGGCTTTCGAAGCTGGCCAATGTGAGGCTCCCAAGGTTAGTCTTCGGCCTGGAGCGGTTGACCAAGCTTCTTTCCCTGATATTGGGAGCACCCTTTACCTTCCAGATGTCAGTCAGCATTCGATCAAGGAGGAGAAGCTAACCGAAGCCACGGCGCTCGTGACCCAGCCCACACTCCCTCCCCGAGCCAAAGAGGAGGGTGGGAGAACGAATGGGTTGCCCTACGGCGAGAGGCTCCATCCACCACGACATCCTTTGGAAACCCCGTATGGACACTCCGCAGGTGCAGGTCAAGGAAATAGTCTCATGCCCCGGATTCAAGTCGGCTAGGAATTCTGGGCCCGAGCGTTCGAGGCCGGTTACCAGCTGTGTGGCAATCATTGGCCCGTCTCAGATCTCCCTCCATTATCGGCTCCACGTCGGGAGGGCTTTCTCTACCCAAGACTAGACACGAGCTATGGTCTGATCACATTTGTATACCCCAGGCCAGGCTAGGAACGGTGGTCTACTCAGTATGGAGCTCCGCCTGCCATCTGGAAGGATTTCATGGAATAGATTAAATAGGCCTCCAGCTCCCTCTTTTCCACCACCATTAAATCGTCAACCCAGACAGTCAACACCTCACGATCTTTAGTGTGCCGACGACGACCCAGATCACAAGATGGCCGAGAAGGTAGCTGATGCACAGATTGTTGAGCATGTTGGCTCGATCGACAAGACCAAGGATGTAAGTCCGAGCGGCACCGTCCCATCGGCTTCAGTTCCGTCGAGATAGTGGACTGACATGTTCTTCCCGGAGCAGGTCGTCGAGGTCAAAGAACTCAAGGGCAGCGAAGCCTACAACGAGGCTCTGCTCCAAGAAGCCGTGCCGCTCACGCACCCACGCACATTGCAGCTGTTCGCATGCCTGCTCATCGGCTTCTTCTGTCAGACCATGAACGGATACGACACCATGATGTTTGGCGGTCTGCTCAACAACAAGGAGTACTTCCTCAAGCACTTCAACGGAGAAAACAAGGGTATCTGGGCTGGTCTGATCAGCTCCATGTACCAGATCGGCGGTGTATCCGCTCTCCCCTTCGTCGGACCTGGCATTGATCAGTGGGGACGACGCTTCGGCATGTTCATCGGCAGCATTCTCATCATCATCGGCACGATCATCCAGGGCATGACTTCGCACAACGCCTCCGAAGGGCTGATGATGGGTGGTCGGTTCGTGCTGGGCTTTGGCGTCACCATTGCCGCTGCAGCCGGCCCCATCTGGATCGTCGAAACCGCCCATCCCAAGTATCGCGGTGTCATCACCGGTCTCTGCAACACCACCTGGTTGGCCGGCTCCATTCTGTCTTCTGGAGCTGTCCGCGGCGGTCTCAACATCAAGGGCAACAACTCGTGGCTCATCCCTGTCTGGTTGCAGGTTGTCTTTCCCGGCCTGATCGCCCTGTTCTGCTTCTTCCTGCCCGAGTCGCCTCGATGGCTCTATGCCCACAACAAGCGCGAAAAGGCACACAACGTCTTGACCAAGTGGCATGGCTATGGCAACCCTGAATCCGTCTGGGTCCGACTTCAGCTCAACGAGTACGAGGAGTTCATCGAGATGGACGGCTCTGTAAGTCTTTTTTGGATATTTGAAACAGCAAAACAAAGTACAGTATGACTGACTGCCTTTCCTTCATCAAGGACAAACGCTGGTGGGATTACCGTGCTCTGTTCAACAAGAGATCGAGCATCTACCGAACTGCCGTGGCCTGTTGGTTCTCTGCCTTCACGCAGTGTGAGTTGCTCTCTCCATCTCCACAAAATCTCCTGTCCTCGAGAGTGTCCGCTGACACCTCGTGTCTTTGTGTCTTCCAGGGGCCGGCAACAGTGTGCTCTCCTACTTCATGGGCGCCGTCCTCGACACGGCCGGCATCAACAGCTCCGTGGGCAAGGCCAACGTGCAGCTCGGCTACTCGGTCGAACAATTCTGCTTTGCCGTTCTCGGTGCACACTTTGTCGAGAAGATCGGCCGTCGCAAGATGATGCTCGCGGGCTTCTTCGGCACGTCTCTCGTGTGGATCGGCATGACCGCCGCGGCCGGCACTCTCGCCAACTCGCTGGTCTCGGGCAACGTCGGCGACGGCGACGCCGTCTTCAGCAACGAGAACGCCGGCAACGCCGTTTTGACCTTCATCTTCCTCTTCGGCGCCGTGTACTCGTTCAACCTGACGCCCCTGCAGGCACTGTACCCGGTCGAGGTGTTCAGCTTCGAACTCCGCGCCAAGGGCATGGCCTTCCAATCCTTCTTCGTCAACGCCGCGGGCCTGCTCAACCAGTTCGCCTGGCCCATCGCCATCAAGAAGATCGAATGGAAATGCTACATCATCTTTGTCGTCTGGTGTTTTATCCAGGGCTGTCTGGCGTACCTCTTCTTCCCGGAGACGCGGAAGCGAACTGTAAGTTTTGCCCTGCCCTTTACTTTATAACCGACGACACCCCACATGTTTTGAATGTTTTTCCCTCCTCCGCGTGTTTGTCGTCGTGCTCACTTGCACATAATTCTGTCATTGTCATGGTCGCTAACAAATCTCACCTCAACAGCTCGAGGAACTCGACAAGATCTTCGAGGCGCCCAACCCGGTCAAGTTCTCCGTGCAGACAAGGACCGTGGCCATCACCGAGGACAACACGGTGGTTGCTGTCGACTCTGAGAAGGTGTAGAGTTTCCCATGTAACCCGGGGGAAAGGCTCTGTGGTAGACGGTAGATTGCGACGCGGCGCGGGAGATGGGAGGCACGCTTGTGTCCTTGCCGGACTACTACCACCAGCCAGGGCCTTCAGGGGTCCGGACGTGCGTGGTATAGTAGAAGGGGCTAGAGTCGACTCGAGCCGTCTGCACGTGTAGTGCGAGATGGCGGGAGACGCAGCAGTTTGAAGACAGGACCAGTATATCATCTATTATGCCATGCTCTGCTCTGCTCTGCTCTGCTCTACTATACCATCATATACTGTAGTACTGTAATATGCCATACTATAGTACTATAATATGCTATACTGTAGTACTATAATATGCTATACTGTATTATGCTTTGCGATGCGACGATAGCTGGACGTGACGGTATATCGAGAGGTGTGATTTGATTAATTACTCCTGATCTTCACAAGTACGCTTTAGTGCGCGATCTAGCGAGGGAGTACTGGGCAAAGTAGCTTCAAGAACAATCAATCTGCTCTTATATTTGGTGTTCCCCGTCGATGGGACCGATTTCATTTCGTCCAACTACGTACGACTAATTCCAGTATAGCTGTAACTGCTGTAGGTATAATGACAACCACGAGCACAACCAAACCACAGCGTTCACCTCTCCGGTCTCCTTCCTCTTGGCTGCATTCTCCTACCCTACTCTATTCTACTCTACCCTACCATACCCTACTCTTGCCTCTTGACCCGCAGAGAACTCTAGAGACTCGTCATTGCGTCCATTCAATCCCAGCCAATCCCACCCCAAAACACCCCGTGGATTTAATGAACTGGTATTGTCCCCATTCCCCTGGGGAGGCGTGGTGAAAACGACACAGTGCTTACACAGTACACAGTAAGTTTGAGCGGTAACCACAGAGCGGAAATGTACAAAACACCAGCCATGCGGTCCCAGAACTTGGTAGTCTCGAGTCCCATGCGGCGCGTTCTCCCTTTTCACCCCTGGGATGTGAAGCACGCCCGTCACCTATAGGCATAAATATGCCGAGAACTGGTCTCTTCTAGGAATATGAGACATCGAGACTAATTTCGGTGGTGCGTACCACATCCGGGTTGTCGCTCTTACAGTTGCCAACACAATGGCCTCCGCAGCAGGAGCCGTCGCATTTTCCGCCGCAGCACTTTCCGTCGCACCCTTTGGATTTGGAGTCCGAGTCGGCGTCGTCGTCGTCGTCATGGTGCTTGTGCTTATGTTCGTGGTCGGGATGATCGTCGTTGTTGTCGTGATGGTGCTTGTGCTTATGTTCGTGGTCGGGATGATCGTCGTTGTTGTCGTGGTTCTTGTTCTTGTGTTCGTGGTCGGGATGATCGTGGTCATCGTCGTGGTGCTTGTTCTTGTGTTCGTGGTCAGGATGATAATCGTCATCGTTGTGGTGCTCGTGCTCGTGCTCGTGCTCGTGGTTGGGATCGTCGTGCTTGTGCTTGTTATGGTCGCCGTCGCCGTGTTCGGCATCATGCTCATGCTCATGCTGATGTTCATGCTCATGGCCATGTGGGTGGTGGGGGAAATGGTGTGGATGGTGGTGGTTATGCTCACGGTCATGGCTAGACTCGTGTTCCTGGTGATGCTCGTGGCCATGGTGAGAGTCTTGGTCGTGGTGAGAGTCTTGGTCGTGGTGAGAGTCGTGGTCGTGGTGAGAGTCGTGGTCGTGGTGAGGCTCTTGGTCGTGGTCATGGTCGTAGCCGTGGTCATGGTCATGCTGATGATCAGGGTAATCGTGATGTTCATGGTTCTGGTTGTGCTCGTCACCTTGCCCATCTTCTGGGTCGTGATTCACGTTGTACTTCTCAGCATAACTTTCTTCATACTGATATTCATAGTCGTCATCGTTGGCGAGGCCGTGATCATGCTCGTTCCCATGCTCGTGCGTGTACGCGTGGTTATAGTCTTGTCCATGAGCGTGGTCCTGTACAGGATCATACTTGTCGTGATAACCCTGATTATGCTCGTAGTTCGGATCAGCCTCCCGCTCGTGCTCCGGTGGCGCATCATAGTCCCAGGTTTGATGCTCTTGGGCTGGGTCCGCATGGTCCCCGTGGTGCTGTTGAGTTGGATCGTCACAGGCCGCGTCGCTTTGTTGATGCGGCTCGCCGTACATGTCTCGTGTCTCATGCATACTCATCTGCTCAGTCATGCGCATAGTAAGCTCATAATCGTATGCGGCCGCCTCCGGGTCTTGGTTGTGTGTCGGTGCGTCCATGGCTGCCTCTAGAGGCATGTCGTGCATCGGCGCCAGGCCACCTGAGTGGGCACCTAGGTGATGGGGGTGTCTGGGCAAGGTTCTGTCAGCATTTTCCATCTTCCAGGTCCAAGGGCGTTCCCTCTTTTCGTATTGTGCGTGATGTAGGTCAACACCGCGAGGACAACTGGCTCGCCGGGTTCCCTAGCTCAATGGCTGGCCGCGGTCCCAGCAATGGGGGAGACGTACCCGTTGTGATGACGGCCGACGGCCGGTGCAAAAATGGGTACAATAGGGTCGTTGAGGTTATGGTAGTGACCCGAATGCTGCTGGGGCATGAAGGAGTTCATCTTGGAGACCTTGCCAATGTTGAGAAAAGGCTGAAAGCTAAGTGATTGTCTGCGAGCCTGCCACTGTCATCCTGAGGTGATAGCGACATGGTGACGATTTATTTGTGTTCTTGGGACCGCAGTATAGTCAGTCGGTCCCAATATTAGACTCGACTAAGTTAAGCGCTGCTGTGCTTCATTTATTCTTAGCATGGCCTTTTCGGGGCGTGTCAGCAGTCGTCCTGTCGGTCGGCCCCTGTGCTCATGCTGCTCCGCGGGTGGTTACTGTAAAAGGTCGTGGCATTGTTCCCACATGGTGATACTGTCGCATTGGAGTCGGGCGTCAGATAGGCTATGACGGTGGTGCCGGGTACTGAACTGTTACTGACTTGGAAGGCTTGTATATGCTGGCCTGCTTTGCCCGGATAAGGACAGAGGATTCGGCTGCCGAAAGACGGAAGCACTGGCATGTCTGCCCGTACCATCGAGCACCGGCGACGAAGAGACCTTAAGTCTATGTGGTCTTACCCGCATGATCAACGTGATGGTTTCCGAGTTGGTCGATACGTAACTCGATCAGGGAAGCTTGCGCCATTGGTAGTTGGAAGCAGTGCCCGCGCCTTGCAGAGTAATGGGTCCGAATCTCACTTGAGGCTGAGGCTTGAGTGCAGACGATCAGAAGCAACAAGCACCAGCCAGTACTGGGTACGTACCAACCATTTCCCCTCTTTGTTGATTGGAGGACATCGGCACCCAGCTCTGAGCCGATCGTAGCTTATCACTGGAGTTATTCCGAACACGTGTGTGCAGCATTTATTTCCGGATTACTGGATTACATATCCCGTATATACCTCGTGGTCAGGGGGCTGCGACAAGCATTGTTCGCAGCTGCCGCAAGAGGAAGTCAGAACCAACCTGCCCACGCAGCAACACCCACACACCGGTCACCTCTCACAGACTCCCAGTCTGACAGGTACCGAGAGAGGCCGTGAAAGGTGCAGTAGCCGCTAAAGGTGCGCCCAACTTTCTTACAGTAGCAAAATTGGGCAATGTGGCATGGGCGGGTTTGTACTTCAACGGCTTGGTGGGCTCTCTTCCAGAATGACCTCGTTCCGAGGGACGAGTAATGTGAAGGTTGAATGAGGGTCCAACACAAAGCAGAGCCGCAGGGACTCATCCCTCATCCTTGCGTGCCACGTCCTTCTGGCGCCGCGTAACAAAGCCTCGTACATGATTTGCCGGTGGAGTGCGCTGCATGATCTACATGGATCCTTGCTGCCGCAGAAGAGATGCCTGTGTCAGTGCGGACACCAAAGCCAAAAGCAAAATAGGACACGTAACTATTAGTGCTTTCTTTCTCATTCAGAGGCCTCTATATACGCGCGTGTCTGAATACAAATCAGAAATACAGTGCCATAAACTTGCAGGTATCACAATCTGTTGTTCGGTATCAAAACGGGGGTGGTGTGACGGTCACCGCCTCTGAAAAAGCATTTCAGTCCAGATAGAACACCACAGCATTCCCTTCGTTTGCTGCACTGGACCCCTCACCCTTGCGCTTCCGATGCACCCATGAGAGCTCGATCCCAATACACATTACAGAACAATGCGGCCTTTTATTTTGCCTTGGCCTGTGTCCTCACGATCAGAATGGCTCCTTCACAACACCCCGGAAACTGGACGCTAGTCATAGAACAAGAAAGCTCGATTGGGCGAAATTCGTCATTTGTGTCATCAACACCTCCTAAACGCCAGCGCTGTGCAAGCAATGAGAAAAGACATGAAGCGTCGCCACGCTCGAGGCCGCGGCGCGCATGGATATGTGAAACTGATATGGTCACGGTGTTTGTGCCGGCGGAGGATATAGGCCAGCCGGATAGAAGGATGCATCAAAACTTTCCGCAGCCTGCGCAAGAGTGTCGAGGTCTGAAAGTCCGCGAACGAGAGGCGGCATTGGGTTCATAAAACCACCAGCTCCAGAGCCAGGGTCGTGCGACTTGCTCAAGACAGGTATTTGACCCAGGGGAGCCGCATTCATGAGAGTCTCGTCGCCGAGCGGCGGATACAGAGAGCTTGGGGATACGTTGTCTGGGATCGTTTGGATGGGCATGAGCACCTGGGTCGGGTCTGCATACATGGCGGATTCCTCGACATTGAGGGGAGTATCGATGGCCGTAGGCGCGACAGAGGTGACTTCGGAGAGAGGCGAATGAATCAGACTCGACCGCCGGCTTGCTTCTGTATTCGCGCTGTGCTCTTTCTTGAGTTGCTTGGCCTTCTGCGCGTCTTTAGTGATCGCCGCCTTGCTTTTACGCGTCGAGTCTTCGCTGTTGCTACTTGACGTCGACTGGCCCTTGTGTGTACGCTCGTGCTGCTTCATGTTGTCTTTCCTCGTAAAGGCCTTGTTGCAGATCGGACAGTGCACGCCCTTCTCTCCGGTGTGTTTTTTCCCATGGCGCGCGGCGTGCCCCGAGGTAGTAAAGGTGGCTTGACAGTGATGTGATTGCGCGTAGGGGCAAGGATATTTGTTCTTCTTGCCCGTGGTGGGAGCTGAGCTGGTTGTTGGGGAGGTTCGAGGTTGTGCGTTTGCAGGGACCGAGGTGGCTGGAGGTGGGACAGACGCATTGGGGGGTTGCGATGACGTGGAGAGATTCTGGAGTGTAGGATGCAGCGGCACGGGCGCGATAGGATATGGGTTAGCAGTGATGGGATGCATCAATTTCCCCGAGAACTGATCCGGCATGTTGGGGCCGATCAACAATTGTTGCTCAAGGAATGGAGTGATGGTGGTCGGAGACGGCAGATAGCCTCCAGCCAAAGGGTCTTGGCGCAGGAGCGGGTCATACTGCGCGAGGGTGTGGTCCAAAAAGTTGTACGCCGGCGTTGCAGGTGATGGAGACGAATCCATGCTCGAGGTGGAGTATTTGGACGAGGAAGAGAGTCGCGATAGAGCAGGAGGCGAGCCGGCCGACGACACAGATGATTCCCGGTCGTACTTGGGATGACGCACAAGACTCGGCCTCTCTCCCCTCGGCGGCGGCGACACTGTTGATCGGTGCGATTCAGCCGTGGGAGAAGACTGCCTGACTTGCCTTGGGCGGATGACAAAGGACGGACAGTCGTTATCGTTCAAGATCGAGAAGATACGTGCTTCTCGAGGTTGCGTCTGCACTTCCATTGTTGGACGCACTCAAAATGCGCCCAGCGGACAGGCCGCTGGTCCAAAGTAAGCTAGAGAAGGCAACTGCCAGGAAGTCAGGTCGTGATACTACGCCGAAAGGCTGTGGAGAAGGTACGTACAGCTGATCAAGGCCAATGAAGACGTCCAATGACTGGGTGAATTTGGGCTGCTATGAGTTGAAGAAGTGGTCTGACTTTGACGCGTCGGATTCTCTCCAACGAAGGGCCAGGTCGCTGCCTGTCTTGATAGAACTGACTTAGCAGCTAGGATTGCAAGTATGGATGGTGTGCCAACGCATCTATGGGAACAAGGTAATAGGTGAGGTATGTGGAGTGATTGGCAACTGGCAGGACAGCTGCTGCACGGCGAAGAAATCCGTAGAAGAAAAGGACCCTTGATACACGGCGACGCTCAGGAAGTTCCTGGACGCGCTTCAATATGCGTAACAGATGAGCAGAAAGAAGGGTCGTCCGGCAGACAGAGAGGGAGAGAGTTGACCTTTCAGTAACTTGGATTCTCAACCCGGAAGGTGTGCGAGCGTTGTGCCGTGTCGGAGGGTTTGCAGGTTTTCTGCCATTGTTGCTCTCTTAGCGGGGCGCGATCGAGGATCGAGCAGATGGAAATGTCGAAATGGCATCTGAACGGGGCAAAAGCCAATAACTGGGGCTGCTCCATGCGCTGGGCAGGGTTGTCTCGTGGGAACAATGTCAGCGGCGGCGGGAAGGATGGATCCCATGTAAAGGCTAGCGAGCGAAGGACAAGAGATGAATGGTTGACAGGTCGGGAAGAATGAGGTTAGGCCACTTGTGGCAGATTGAAAGCGCTCTAGTCTCGTGCTATTCAAGGCTTGGAAGACATCATGCCGCCTGCATCGACCGATGATGCTCCTGGCGCTCGTACTCGTAGACGCCCCCGAAGCCTTCATGATATTGTCATTTCCATCGTGGCTTCGCGGTGGCTTTGGAAGACAGGACCCTGCAGACACCACTGCAGTCCGACCTTCTCTAGATCCAGGACGTGTCACCCATCCAACATGGGAGGCATGTACCCCTCCTGTGCACCAGGCAATGGGAGCACAGAAGAAGGCCTCTGAAAATTGCAAGATTTGGCACCTAAATTACACGCACCCCAGCCGTAGACATTCTCAGCTTCACGATTGTAATTGGCTGCGCTGTAACACCGCTGTCGGTTTTGAGACTCGCGTTCGCAGCATGAAGCCACAGGCGGAGTGTCAAGCCTTGCCGTGCTAAATCATGATCGGCGCAGTGAGTCCCTCAACAAGCACGGCTGACCTGGCACTGTCTAAGGTTTTGATGAGTTTCCGCGACAGCCCCTGGCAACTCTGTGACTCGGGACCAAGAATGATCGAGCGATACACGAACAGATTACGATCCAGGAAAATCAAGAGCGGGCTGCGGACACAAGACCCGGATTCCCCTCGTGCGGGTCCTCCCAACAACGCTCATGCGTCAGTCTCAGAGTCAAGCGCTCCCAGGGGCAAGGATCAGAGCTGGGCCAGTCACGGTGTCTCAGAGACAGGCTCCACTGTTAAGGTTTGGCTAGGAGCGCCGAAGTGGACGACACGGGATCAGCGTGTTGCGCATATCGGAAGCAGTGGTGGACGGAAGCATTACTGGGTACCTGTTAGATAGACAGTACTATCAAGCACAGTGTGCTCGTTCCTGAACCCGTGCTTGAGTTCCCATTCCAGCTTTCTACCACGATGAGGAAAGTCCTCTCACGATGCAGAGTGTCAGCGGACTGAACCAGCACGGGGTGCGCGATTGCTGCCAACGATTTGTGGGGCTCTGACCTGGAGCCGGCTTACGGGCCTAGCAATGACATCACTCCAGCGTTGAAATTCACGATGATCGCTATTAGAGCTCGATCGCAGAGTCAGGGTATAACCTGCAGGCGTGCCGCAGGAGTTAAGGCCAAGCTTATTTCCCTTTTTGCAGCAGCCGCCAAACATCCTCATGGTCCTGCTGTTTTGGTAGTATGGTAATCGAGAATGGGATTGAATCTCGCTGTGAGTACGGAGTACGGAGTACTCGAAAGGTACTGCGTACACAGAACCACCCTCCAGGCCAACCTCGTACGAGGTACGGACCGGACACATTACCTCGCGTGTAGAAGGTGGCTGTCTACCTCCTCTGGCTGCAGCCTGCAAGCAAGCAGTTGGCTGCTCTCTGTGCTCTTCTCACCCAAACCACCAATTTGCCACGTCTTTCCGTGAAGAGCACCGTTCGTGTTCATCTTTCCCAAGATATAGGAAATGTACTCCGTATAATAGCTACGTACGTGGTATTTTGTGAAAGCAATCGGACATCGGGAGAATGAGGTGCAAGTTCGCCGTCCGCCACGTGCGACCAGCTTGTTGATCTTCGGACAATCAGGCACCACCAGCCATCAAGGGGTTCCTCGAGCGATCACATCCGCACACAGAACCGGGAAGATGTACCCAGTACTCCATATATAGCTTCTATTACGGGTGGTGCAGCGAGGTGCAGGCACGCAGGGCACGCAGGGTGAGGTAGCAGCAAAGCCGTAGGGCTGGATTTCCTTGTAGGACCCTCGGACCTCAACATCTCCCTGAAGGTGCTAGCTGGCGGCAGCCTCTGATCACTGCGAAGTCCATTGCCAAGCCAGCCATGGTGTTCTCGAAGCAGGACAGAAGCACGCATTTCCTTAAGAGTTTGCTGCGAGGCTGTGCGCTTCGAGCAAGGCGCAATGAGGTCATGCGGAAATGCCCAAGGCAAACCGGTGAACAAGCCAACTTCATCCTATAGGATTTAGCGGTGAAGAAGTGCTATCAATTGATAGGTTCGTGAACCACCAGTCCTCACTTAAATGCTCACGCAGTGGCCGGTCTCGTGGTTGCTGACGTGGCAGTGCAATATGGCGAGTTCTCATCATAATCTCATTCGCCGAGTGAGCGCTCTCCTCATGGGCGAAGTGCAGGACATTCAAGCCCCAACTTGGCCTGCTGCCTGCTCTTTGGGAAGAAAGGGTACGAAAGTGTGCGCTTGAGTAGAGGGTAGGCACAAGTAGGCAACGTGAACGTTCGTGTAGCGTACGGGTACGCGTCTTGTGGCCCAACTGCTCAGCTTGCATCCAGCATATACCTTGCTAGTTGGGCGTCGTCGACGATAGAAGCCAGCGCCCCGAGTTCCTGGCAATGACGTACGGGTAGCGGTTGGCTCTCTGGCTTTGCCCCGAAATCTGCCTGCCCACCGGCTTTTTGTGCGCCCCGCGGGCACTTTTGTCTCCTCAGTTACCACCACCACCACCAACCGCCACGGCGTTTTGCCTCTCCACGAACAAGGAGGTCTTACAGAGTACAACGTTGCCAAGCTGCCCAGAATCCTGATATTCTTCTTCGAAGCCGCTCAAAAGCAACTTGCATCCACTTCTCTGATCCAGACCATCAGCATCTTTATCCTTCCATTACCCTGTCGCTCACTGTAACCGTCAGAGCCTGGAAGCGATCACATTTCGCATCGATCCGACCCTTCCCGCCGTTCCGGTGTCTTGCTGGGACTGCGCATCCCTTTCAATTACTACTGTCTTGCCTTATTGCACGTTTGGCCCGACCGCAGCGACAATGTCTTATTACGACGACGATCGATCCCGCCGACCGAGGAGCACACGGGAGCGGTCTCGAAGAGATGACTATGACGATACCACGATCTACGACACAAACACCAGAGAATCCCGTATAGTCAAGCGGCGCGATGACAGTGTCGACTCTATCGAAGAAGTCGCCCGTGATTTCGCCCCTGGAGACCGCGGCGCTGTCTATCGCGAGACCACTGTGCGCAAAAGCGGCCATCGCCCTATTCGTACGAGGTCGTCCGATGATCGCTGGTACGACGATCGGTATGACGACCGGTCGTATGTTTCGCGAAAGAGATATGATGACGACTACGTCGTTGTCGACAAGCCAAGACGCAAGGGTCGAGATTACGATGACGGTCGTGAGTTCCAGCGCCCTATGCGCCCTCTCTCTATTTCCGCAACTGACCGTCCCCAGGCCGCTCCCGTCGGTACTCGTCGGATTACTCCTCACGCAGCCGCAGCCGCACTCCACCTAAGAAAGAGCGCAGAAAGTCTACGGTTGAAGAGGCATTGGGTGCGGTCGGCCTAGGAGGAGTTGCAGGGGCTCTTCTGGGCAAGAGCCGCGATAGATCGAGATCCGATTCCCGCAACGGCCGTCACCGAAGCCGAAGCCGGGTTGGTCGCAGAGACAGATCGTCATCAGACCGTTCTCGCCATCGTAGCAAGAGCCGCGGCAAAGCCAGAAATGAACAAATCTCACAAGCCATAAAGGCTGCTGTTCTGGCCGGTGCCGGCGAGGCTTTCCGTGCTCGCAAGACCGACGGCGGCTGGGGCGGTGAGAAGGGCAAGCGAGTGCTCACCGCTGCGCTCGCCGCGGGCGGAGTTGACGGCTTGATCTCCAACAAGGACGATCCTCATCACCACTCCAAGCGAGACATTGTCGGCTCGGCTTTGGCTGGTATGGCCACCAATCGCATCATCAACGGACCTCGATCGAAGTCTCGAGGTCGGACCGGGAGTCCTGACAGTCGCCGTGGGCGCAGCCAGTCTCGAGGAGGCTTGGGAGACCTTGCCGCTGGCGGAATTGTCGCCGCCACGGCGAAGAAAGCATATGATTCAATCCGCTCCCGGTCCCGTGGTCGGGCGCGCTCTCGAAGCGCCTCATCATACACCAGCCGTGGTAGCCGGAGCCCGCCAAGCAAACGCAGTCGCAGCCGCTCAATCGCCGCCAGAGGGCTTGCCGCGTTGGGATTGAAAGATGCCGCGGACAAGGTCGATCCAGACCGGGAACGTGATCGCCGCCGGAACTACGACAACTACGATGATGATGGACGGTCAAGCCGTTATGGAGGATATGGATACAATGATTCCCGAGATGTAGGTACCATTCAACCCCACTATGACTATGCAAATGGCGGTCCCCGTTCCCTGAGCGTACC